GTAATTGGTTTGTTTAACTTTTGTGTTTCTTCCTTGGTCAGTCTTGGGAGGTTGTATTTTTCTAGGAAGTTGTCCATTTCTTCTAGGTTTTCCAGCTTGTTGGCATATAGGTTTTCATAGTAGTCTTTAATAATTCTTTGTATTTCTGTGGAGTCTGTCGTGATTTTTCCATTCTCATTTCTGATTATGTTGATTTGTGTTGACTCTCTTTTTCTCTTAATAAGTTGGGCTAGAGGCTTATCTATTTTGTTTATTTTCTCAAAGAACCAGCTCTTGGTTTCGTTGATTTTTGCTATTGTTTTATTCTTCTCAATTTTGTTTATTTCTTCTCTGATCTTTATTATGTCCCTCCTTCTGCTGACTTTAGGCCTCATTTGTTCTTCTTTTTCCAGTTTTAATAATTGTGATGTTAGACTATTCATTTGGGATTGTTCTTCCTTCTTCAAGTGTGCCTGGATTGCTATATACTTTCCTCTTAAGACTGCTTTCGCTGCATCCCACAGAAGTTGGGGCTTAGTGTTGTTGTTGTCATTTGTTTCTATATATTCCTTGATCTCTATTTTGATTTGTTCATTGATCCATTGATTATTTAGAAGCATGTTGTTAAGCCTCCATGTGTTTGTGAGCCTTTTTGTTTTCTTTGTAGAATTTATTTCTAGTTTTATACCTTTGTGGTCTGAAAAATTGGTTGGTAGAATTTCAATCTTTTGGAATTTACTGAGGCTCTTTTTGTGAGCTAGTATGTGGTCTATTCTGGAGAATGTTCCATGTGCACTTGAGAAGAATGTATATCCTGTTGCTTTTGGGTGTAGAGTTCTATAGATGTCTATTAGGTCCATCTGTTCTACTGTGCTGTTCAGTGCCTCCATGTCCTTACTTATTTTCTGCCCAGTGGATCTATCCTTTTGGGTGAGTGGTGTGTTGAAGTCTCCTAAAATGAATGCATAGCAGTCTATTTCCCCCTTTAGTTCTGTTAGTATTTGTTTCACATATACTGGTGCTCCTGTGTTAGGTGCATATATATTTAGAATGGTTATATCCTCTTGTTGGACTGAGCTCTTTATCATTATGTAGTGTCCTTCTTTATCTCTTGTTACTTTCTTTGTTTTGAAGTCTATTTTGTCTGATATTAGTACTGCAACCCCTGCTTTCTTCTCTCTGTTGTTTGCCTGAAATATGTTTTTCCATCCCTTGACTTTTAGTCTGTGCATGTCTTTGGGTTTGAGGTGAGTTTCTTGTAAGCAGCGTATAGATGGGTCTTGCTTTTTTATCCATTCTATTACTCTGTGTGTTTTGATTGGTACATTCAGTCCATTTACATTTAGGGTCACTATTAAAAGATATGTACTTATTGCCATTGCAGGCTTTTAGATTCATGGTTACCAAAGGTTCAAGGTTAGCCTGTTTAGTATCTTACTGCCTAACTTAGCTCACTCATTGAGCTGTTACATACACTGTCTGGAGATTCTTTTCTTCTCTCCCTTCTTATTCCTCCTCCTCCATTCTTTATATGTTGGTTGTTTTATTCTGTGCTCTTTCATGTTTCCTTTAACTGCTTTTAGTGGGTAGTTGATTTTATTTTTTTGCCTTTAGTTAGTATTTGGTTGGTCTTCTTTCTTTGCTGTGATTTTATTTTCTATGGTGACATCTGTTTAGTTTTAGGAGTGCTCCCGTCTGGAACAGTCCCTCTAAAATACCCTGTAGAGGTGGTTTGTGGGAGGCAAATTCCCTCAACTTTGCTTGTCTCGGAATTGTTTAATCCCTCCATCATATTTAAATGATAAGTGTGCTGGATACATTATTCTTGGTTCAAGGCCCTTCTGTTTCATTGCATTAAATATATCATGCCATTCTCTTCTGGCCTGTAAGGTTTCTGTTGAGAAGTCTGATGATAGCCTGATGAGTTTTCCTTTATAGGTGACCTTTAAAACTCTTTCCTTGTTCTTGATCTTTGCCATTTTAATTATTATGTGTCTTGCTGTTGTCCTCCTTGGGTCCTTTCTGTTGGGAGTTCTGTGTATATCCATGGTCTGTTTAATTATTTCCTACCCCAGTTTGGGTAAGTTTTCAGCAATTATTTCTTCAAAGAGACTTTCTATCCCTTTTTCTCTCTCTTCTTCTTCTGGTACCCCTATAAAAGAATATTGTTCCTTTTGGATTGGTCACACAGTTCTCTTAATATTGTTTCATTCCTGGAGATCCTTTTATCTCTCTCTGTCAGCTTCTATGCTTTCCTGTTCTCTGGTTTCTATTCCATCAGTGGCCTCTTGCTTCTCATCCATTCTGCTCATAAATCCTTCCAGAGTTTGTTTTACTTCTGTAATCTCCTTCTGGGTTTCTGTAATCTCCCTCCAGACTTCATCCCTTAGCTCTTGTATATTTCTCTGCATCTCCGCCAGCATGTTTATCATTTTTATTTTGAATTCTTTTTCAGGAAGACTGGCTAGGTCTGTCTCCTTCTCAGGTGTTGACTCTGTGATCTTTGCCTGTAATTTTGCCTTTTCATGGTGATAGAGATAGTTTGCAGAGCTGGCATGAGTGACGGCTGGAAGACCTTTCCTTATTGTTGGTTTGTGGCCTTCCTCTCCTGGGAGAACAGCGACCTCTAGTGACTTGTGCTGGGCAGCTGCACACAGACAGGGCTTCTGATTCCTGCCCGGCTGCTATAGAGTTTGTCTATGCTGTTGCTGTGGGCGTGGCTTGCCTCGGGCTGCTGCTCTGATATGGTGGATCTGCGTTGGAGGGGGAACAGCTGGGAGGCTATTTATCTCCGTGAGAGTATCCAGGACCCCACACATGCACTGTGTCTGCGCTCTGGTCTGGATGGCTGGGACTAGGTGTTTTGCAGTCCTGGGCTCCCTCTCCCTCCCCGCTCTATCTCCTCTCCTCCCGCCGGGAGCTGGGGTGAGGGGTGCTAGGGTCCAGCCGGGTTGGGGCTTGTATCTTACCCCCTTTGTGAGGCGCTGTGTTCTCGCAGGTGTGGATGTGGTCTGGATGTTGTCCTGTGTCCTCTGGTCTCTATTCTAGAAGAGTTGTCTTTGTTATATTTTCATAAATATATGTGGTTTTAGGAGGAGATTTCCGCTGCTCTACTCACGCTGCCATCTTGGCTCCACCAAATAATTATTTTTAAGTGTGAAAATTTTAGAAAAAATACAAAAAAGTTTGGGGAGAGGCGAAGTATTCAACAAATCTTTGTGTGACTATTGAATGAGTTCAGCCATATGAGCAGTTTTTTAAAAACAATGGCTTGTTTTCTTCTTCATTTTTCATTTGTACCTAGGAGCAACCAACCAACAAAGAGATCGGTGTACCTAGCTGCATAACAGAGAAGAAATATTCCATCATTTCTCTCTGAGTTCTCACATTTGTAGAGCAAGAGTTGCTGCATGGAGTTGGGTCATTCACGGCCCACTAGCACTGATGAAAAATAAGCAGGTCTTACCAGTTGAAATATGAAATGCAATGTTAATTACTGCTAAAGAAATGATAGATTTGTACTAACCTGTTTTCTGTTCTAGAAAAGCAGTGCAAAGTTGTTCTCTGCCAAGGTCAAGAAAGTGTCATCATCTTGTATATGAACAACATTTTGTTTAAAATATCATTGTTGTCCTTTGTTAAACTTTTAAACAAATTGGATCACCTAGGATATTTAGTTGTAGACAATATTATCCTTTCTAGGTGTATCAAATAGAAAAGGATTTATTAAAGGTTGTATGCTTTGCTCACAAACACATTAGAAGGGCTGAAGAAATAGACACTAACCTGAAATTCCCGCACCATAATAAACCCATGCCACAGAATTGGACTGCCCGAGGAGCTGCTGTTTCTGTTATGACCCGGATGATGCAGCATCAGGAAGTTGAGTGAGTCAATACAGTGAATCACCATATGCATTTGCCCCAGAAATCACTCCACTAGAAATACAAGTACAAGTATGTATAGATTTACATATTAGAATTTTTATTGCTACAGTGTGTGTTGTGGCAAAAACTGGAAACAAAGTGAACACCTAATAAGAAATGACTGAGATTATTATGGAACATCCACATATGTAATATTATGAAACAGTTAACAATAAAATAGAACTATGTAAATTGACTTATAAGGATGTGCATAAGATACTGTTGAGTGAAAAAAGCAAAATTTCATTTGTAAAGCATTAACCAAAAAACCTGCATATGCATGTATACATATGGAGGGATGTATCCTAGGGTGTTATGGTGGGTGCTTTGTGGACAGGTGGGGGTTGAGGATTATGTTCAAGAAGAGAAGAGAGAGAAGTAGTAGCCAAGATTCCCTCCAATTAGGAAATTGTAAATATACAAACACATATATATATAGAAGTATATGTGTATATATAGTTATGGTTATATTTAAATACTTAGAATTATGTATTAAAAAACAAAAGATAATTTTTAAGACTAGGAGAATAATAAGTTATTTTCTTTAAAAAATTCATATTTGTACTTGATTCTATAAAATACTGTATTTAATCAAATTAATCCTCCTGTTAATTTTCTCTCTAAACCCAGGCTTTCTTCCCCGACCATCCTTTCCAGATTTTGCTGTCATTCCAGTCTACAGTAAACCTGGAAGTACTTCTAGAATTATTTTGGAGGTATGTAGAAGATACTGATATAATTGTGTGCCCAGTAGTCCCTTTTTCATTTTTTTCTGGGAACTCCATTCTCTGACACACACCCCACCACCATCGCCACCACTGTATGTTCAGTGTGGAGGAATCTATGTTCTTATAGGACCCAAGAGTCTGAGCACAGTTGATTGGTTCAGTGATGAGTGCCTGACTCAGCTGGACCAATGAGCAGCTGTGTGTTAGGAGGAAATACCCCCATACTAAAAGGGTCTGAATATTAGTAGTAAACTAATTATATTAGTTAATATTTAAACTAATTGTGTCACAATCTAAAATCCATCCTAAGAATTGTAAAAATGGAAGGGCAGGCACTGGTTTTATATCCCCAGCACCTTGCAGAATGCATGACAAAATGGGTGTTGAATAGATTATTATTAAAATACTTAAAATAAGTGTGTAGGTGTTTTATAGTATCTGAGCTCATCTAATCTTGTGTAAGGTTTTTATTAATTAATGACATTGAAAATGAGACAATTCTCTAAGGTCAAAAGAGGAATTTATTAAAAGGTTACAGGGATATCCCAGAAACCAAGGGCAGAGATGCCATTCATGAACTGCACCAAGTCTGCATAGCACACTGTATAGAAAACTCAAGAGACTTTTCTATATTTGTTCTCTATTTTTCAGTCTACAAGCCAAAAAATGGTGAAGTTTGCTTTGCCTCTGTTTAAAAGAACAGTCAGTCACAAATTGAAATCTCTTAATCCTGGTTTTAAATTCCCAAGGGAAAGATTCTGATTGATTCAGCATGAGGCAGGTCTCAAACTGGGCCAATCAACTGCAACCATTGGGTTAAGGCCATGTTTTCAAAGCCTCATTGTTAACCATGGATTGTGCAGTTAAAAAAGAGTGGTAACTAGAAAAGATAGTAAAGTTGTGAACTGAGTGGACAATCAATAGCTGTGAAGTCTACATAGCTTTAATGTGAAGATTCTGGGGGTCAGTGCAATTCATAAGAGTATATTGAACCTAAGACCTTCCAGAATCACATATAGATTACAATTCTCTGTGTCTAAAATTGGAATTCAAAGCAGAGACAAATGTGAAAGGGACTAGAAACTTGAGTGTGTCATTTACTTCAAGATTTTATTGTGATGTTTCTTCTGCCTGAAATGTACATCTCTCCTTCCTCCTGCATCAGATTTCTATTTGGTCTTCACGTTTCACAATAGACATTACTTCTTTCAGAAAACCTCTATTAATCCTCCCAAGATCAAGTTAACTGGCCCTCATATGGTGTACTTACATTGGGAGAGACAATTTGCTATGGGTCTGGAATGTTCCTAAATCATTTTGCTGTGCATTCTGAGAATGTAAGTCTTAGACCACTCTTTACCCCTGCCATTTCTTAGGGTTGTGTTTGGAGCAAGCAACCCTGAAAGATGAGATAATATCTCCCCACCAACAAAAAGCAGGCTTAATTCCATTTACTCTATAAACAGTAGTCCCCTAAATTCAGCATGCTTCTCTTGTAATACAACCCACTTCAGGCATCCAAGATAAGGCTTTTGCATTGTCCCCACCAGACCAGGAGTGTTTAGTTTGCTAGGGCTGCCATAACTAACACCAGACTGGGTGGCTTAAACGATAGAATTTGTTTCCCCACAGTTCTGGAGGCTGGGAGTCCACGATCAAGAGGTCCACAGAAGCCTCTCTCATTGGATTGCAGGTGACCACCTTCTTATTGTGTCCTCACGTGGTCTTTATTCTGTGTGTGAGTGCTCCTGTTTCTCTCCATGTTGAAATTCCTCTTCTTATAAGAACAGCAGGACAGATGCACCCCTATGTTTATTGCTGCACTATTTACAATAGCCAAGATATGGAAGCAACCTAAATGTCCACCAGTAGATGAATGGATAAAGAAGATGTGGTACATACACACTATGGAATATTACTCAGCTATAAGAAAAAAACAGATCCTGCCATTTGCAGCAACATGGGTGGAGCTGGAGGGTGTTATGCTCAGTGAAATAGGCCAGTTGGAGAGAGACAAGTACCAAATGATTTCACGCATATGTGGAGTATAAGAACAAAAGAAAACTGAAGGAACAAAACAGCAGCAGAAGCACAGAACCCAAGAAAGGACTAACAGTTACCAAAGGGAAAGGGACTGGGGAGGACGGGTGGGAAGGGAGGGATAAGGGGGGAAACGCGGCATTACAATTAGCATACATAATTTAGCGGGGGAGGGGGGACATGGTAAAAGCAGTATATATATACAGAGAGTAGTGATTTTACAGCATCTTACTATGCTGATGGACAGTGACTGTGAAGGGGTATGTGGGGTGGACTTGGTGAAGAGGGGAACCTAGTAAACATAATGTCCTTCATGTAATTGTAGATTAATGATGCCAAAATAAAATTTAAAAAAAACAGCAGAAAATTCCATTTATCTTTATACTATACCCATTTTCAGCTATTTCTTTTTTTAATTTTTTAAAATTGAAATATAGTTGATACACAATATTACAGTGGTTTCAATTATACAGCATAGTGATTTGACAGTTACTTACATTATTAAATACTCACCCCAATTAGTGTAGTTACTATCCGTTAACACAGAAAGATGTTAAGGAATTATTGTGTATATTCTCTATGCTGTACTATGTATTAGTCTCTATGACTAATGCATATTATGATTAAAATTTTGAACCTCTCCCGCATGGTAACCACCAGTCACTTCTTGGTGTCTATAAGTCTATTGCTGTTTTGTTTGTTTTCTTTTTATATTCCACAGGCAAATGAAATCATATGGTATTTGTTTTTCTCTGTCTGCATTATTTTACTGAGCATAGTGCCCTCTGGGTCCATCCATGTTGTCACAAATGGCAGGATTTCTGATCAGCAACGTGATACTTTGGATGGTTTCCTAAGGAACCAGTCTGTCCATCTAAAAGCTGAATCCAGTTAGTACTATGTGAAACTGGCATTCAACATGATAGATTTTTTAAATTTTTGCATGCCATTGTAAGGCATAGCCTTCTCAATAGAAAGATATTTGCTAGTGTAACTTCTTAAGGTTTCTTACTCATCTCAGGGAGACTTTTCGAAACCCAAGTAGAACTCTTGTTGCTGTTAAGATAGTTTCTATGAGGTAAGCCTCTAATGAGCAGAGGTCATCACTAATAGTGAGAGATACCTTGAAAACAAGCTGAAATGTGGGGTTTGTTCGTGGTGTTAGCTGGAATGGCCTGAAAAATAAATTCACTACAAATAGATTGTTAAGAAGCTTGAGTTTTCAAAACTGTTGTTTGGAAATACTGTTTTTAAAAATGCTGTGTGCTCGGGCACCCTTTTTTACCATTGCAATTTGTTCTCAACTAATATATAGAGTTGCTTGTTTTTCTCTGAAGTTCTGATCTAAAGTCACCCTGAAACATGGAAACAAATTTTATGACTGGGTGATTCACTTCCTTGACAGTGTTAAGATCCTTTTAGTCATTACTTTAGGTAAGAAACTAAATGAAATAATACCACCAGTTATAGTTCAGTCTTCAAGGAAACAGTGGATTGATGATTCTCTTGCTTCCTTAAATTCCATCCTTAAAAATAAAAGACTAAAAAAAAAAAAAAAGAACAGCAGGTAGATTGCTTTAGGGCCCACCCAAACGACCTCCTTTTAACTTAATCATCTCTTTAAAGGCCCTGTCTCCAACCACAGTCACATTTTGAAGAACTGGGGTTGTGCTTCAACATATAAATTATGGAGGACAGGGACATAGGTATCCAACACAAACCATTATTCAGGCTCTGACACTGAATAATAAAGTCCTTTTTCTCTGACCCAGGAATCTTGTCTTTTGACAGCATTCCTGAAACAGTCATAGGCTAACTTATTAGTTTATAAGAGGCTAAAATCCCAGATCCTGCACAGCTCTTGACACCTATATTTTAGCCCCTATCACACAACTTACAGTATCTCTTTGACTTTCTTCTTCACTAAACCACAGGAGCTTTGAAGCCAAAGTATAATGTTTAAAACACAGACATTGAATAATTATTTGCTGAATGAATAAAATTTCATTTATGACAAAGAATCTGGTTAAGACATTAGTTGATCTGAAGAGCTATGCTTTCTAAGATATGGATTAAGATGAGAAAAGAAAAGGTTGGTACAGATTCAGTACTGCTTAATGAGCGTTCTGATACAGTCATATAGCTTCCTTGATATGTTCCCAAGAAAACTAGATGTTGCCACAAGTGTTATATAATTTATTAGGCTATATTTTACTACCATCCAATACTAGTTACCTAGATTATTTCTCTGGAAATTTTGTAAAGTTTGATTTTGGATGAATGTGAACAAATGTGTTCCACACAATTTTTTTTTTTTTTTTGAGAGGGCATCTCTCATATTTATTGATCAAATGGTTGTTAACAACAATAAAATTCAGTATAGGGGGGTCAATGCTCAATGTACAATCATTAATCCACCTCAAGCCTAATTCTCGTCAGTCTCCAATCTTCTGAAGCATAACGAACAAGTTCTTACATGGTGAACGAATTCTTACAGAGTGAATAAATTCTTACATGGTGAACAGTACAAGGGCATTCATCACAGAAACTTTCGGTTTTGATCATGCAATATGACCTATAAACCATCAGGTCAAATATGAATATTCATTTGATTTTTGTACTTGATTTATATGTTGATCCCACATTTCTCCTATTATTATTATTATTTTTATTTTTAATAAAATGCTGAAGTGGTAGGTAGATGCAAGATAAAGGTAGAAAACATAGTTTAGTGCTGTAAGAAGGCAAATGTAGATGATCAGATGATCAGGTGTGTGCCTATGGACTAAGTATTAATCCAGGCTAGACAAGGGCAGCAAGACATCCACGGATGCAGAAGATTTCTCTCAAAGCAGGGGGGGTGAGGTTCTGAGCCTCACCTCTGTTGATCCCCAAATTCTCACCTGATGGCCCCCCTGCGACTGTGCCTGTCTTAGGTTGTTCCTCCCTTGAGGAATCTTACCCGTCTCTGGCTAACCAGTCATCTTCCGGGGCCATACAGGGAAATGTAAAGTTGGTAAGTGAGAGAGAAGCCATATTGTTTGCAAAGGTTAGCTTTTTACTTCTTTGCAGATTTATGCCCTGTGGCTTCTATGCCCAGCACTTGTCTCGAGGTATCTTTACCACCTGGAGGAATTATGATACTCGGTAAATTCGATATGAGGCACGAATTCTATTTAAGGGTTGTAATTAGGAAGGAAGAAGAAAAGCTATAGATGTAGCATATGAAGGAAACTTGGGAGGATTGATTATTTCTTTGACATATCTTCTTGTATAGTACCTTAAGTATGTATAGGTTTTAAACTACTAACTAATTTGCACACACATATTAACATAATAGGAATACGGTGACATAAACAAAGCAAATCTATAATTACCAGCCATCTCCAGTGAAGCCAAGAAAACCATTTAGGCACCCTAGGCATTTGTGAAAATTTATCTATGATATGATGGATATTTTCCAACTGTACTTGAACCATCAGACAAATTAAAGCAGCCCATTTCTGGGATCTGTTCACATCCCATATGTTCTTTTAACCATAGATAGTCTATAGTCATGAGATTTTGGGGTGCTACAACTTGCACCCCTCCCAACTCCTGGTTGAGTTCCAACAGTACAGATCCAGTCAAATTCGTTGTCTCACTGTATGCACATGCCAGCCTAGACATCTCCCTCCTCCTTCTTATGGCAAGTCCAGGAGACGGTGGGCTGGATGCAGCCACAACCGCAGCATCGTCCGGATCCCTGTGGAGGCTTTTTGATGATCATCCCCCGGCACGAGTCCTCCAGAGAGTGCTGATGCCGGAAGCTCCTCCTCATATCGTATCTTAGTTCATTTTCTGGGTATCCAAGCTAGGCCTTGATCTTCTGCGTAGAAACAAACAGACCCTTTGCCCACACTTTGACATGCCCTCTATACCACTGTGCAGAACTCATTGGAGGTCAGCACACAGTAACTGCTTTTTTTTTTTTTTTTTAATTAAGAGAAAGGAATATTATCAGAAAAGAGTACCTCCATAGCTGATCATCTGACACCCTTTAAGTGATCAACATTAAGGATATTTAAAGCATGCGTTGATCTTTGATTTACCAATAGTTTTATCCTGTTAAGGAGTAATCCCCCTTTTCTTTCTTTCTTTCTTTTTTTTTTTTTTAATTTTTTAATCTACACTTACCTGAAGAATACTATGTTTACTATGCTCTCCCCTATATCAGGTCCCCCCTAACAACCACATTACGGTTACTGTCCATCAGCTTAGCAAAATGTCCACACAATTTTTTAAAGTGATAGCTAGAGCAAAGTAAAGCCTTCTACTTATATAATGCAGACACCCCCACAAAATAAAATTTAGCAATGAAAGTAGTATTAAATAATGCCATATTTAGCCCTACAATTTACCAGTGATTTACTACCAGCTTTTAAAAATCTTTCCAGAGTATAAAGAGCAGTCTCTACAGTCTCTGCTCAGCATATGGGAAAGATTTTGCCCTCAAACACTTTGCTCATAGCAAGAATGCTGAGAAGCCCAGTTAAAGCCAGCGGATTCTGACTGCGGCCTGGGCAGAGGGTGCAGAAAACCTGTGTCCGTTCTGAGAGGTGAGCTCCTCTGGATCACCCAGCCTGAAAAGAATATTTCCTTTTAATAGATTCAAAACGTAAACAGATAAAAGAAGGAAAAACAATCAACAAATGTAGATAAAATGGTCAGAAAAGAGAGGCAAGACAGTGGCTCTAACTCTTGGGGCCCCTGCTAGTCTCTCCCCAGATCCAACTTCCAGCCTCTGAGGAGTGGCCGAGACCAATCATTCCTGAGCAGTCACCCAGGACAGGAGCTTCCTGACTGACGAGAAGCTCACCCACCAGGCTCAGGGCAAGCTCGACCAAAACTCCTGCTACGCAGCACCCAGCTCCTCACTCCTGGCTTGGGCCTTGGTCCAAAACTCAGTGGGGGTGCCCAGTAAACACGTGCTGGGATGAGCGAAGTGTAAGGGCAGGGGATTGGTGAGAATGAAGGAAATCACAGTCCAGTGGAGAAGAAACAAGAGAGAGGACCTGGTGGTGCTGGTGTGAACAGAGGGCTGTGCGAGGTGGTGTGGGAAGAGGAGGGGCCTGACATTTGCTCTGCATTCGTAAACACAGTGAAATTCCTTGGCTAAAGGCATTTCCCTAAACTGCGCATACATTTTTTTTCAGTGGGGCCCTTTCTCTCGTCCCAGGGCAAACCACTGTTTATGTCCTTAATAAACGGTTTCCTCCAAGCAGTTGACAAAAACCGGAGGTGAGGGTCCGGGCGTGCCAAGGCCTCGGCGATGGAGGGCGCAGCCTGCACCCCTGGGCTCTCCGCTGCAGCCCCTGGACCTCGGTTCTCAGAGCGCTCAGCGCGGCTCGGGGAGGAGGGGACGCGGCCGCCGTGGACCCCGTGCAGCGCGCAGGGCAGCCGAGCACCGCGCGCGCGAGCGGAAGGGCCTGCGGAGAGCCGGGGCGGGGAGGCGGGCCGCCGCGCACAAGCCCGCCCCCGGGTGGGCCCCGGCTCCCCGCCCTCCCCGCCGCCGCCAAGCCGACCGCCGCGGCCGGCGACCATGCGCCGCCTCCCGAGGGCCCTGCTGCTGCCGGTGCCGCTCGCCCTGCTCGTGGCCGTCGCGGCCCCCGAGGCGCCCGTCAGCGCGCCGCGGAGCCTGGTGTGGGGGCCCGGACTCCAGGCAGGCGTCGTTCTGCCCGTCCGCTATTTCTACCTGCAGGCCGTGAACTCGGAGGGCCAAAACCTCACCGGCTCGCCGCAAGGTAGCGTTCAGACCCGGGCCTCCCTCGCCCTACAGCCCGCTCCCCCGCGCGTCCCCGCCGCGCCCGGGCCTCTCGGGACTCCGCCCGCCGCCTGCGTGGGCGTCCGTCGCCCCGCCTTGGGTCTGGTCACCTTTTCCGTCCACCTGCCCTGCACAGGCGGAAGGAGTCGCAACAAAAGTTTATTGAATGAATGAATGAACGAACGAAGGAACGAACGCCGAGGGCCCTGGCTCGTTTACTGTACTGGGACTGAAGTTCGGTGTTAACGAGTGCGGTGTGAGTCACAGGTTGGAGGTGGTCTTTCCGCCTCTGACGTAGTCAGCCGCGCTGCTGCAGTGCGGAGATGGCCCGCACGTGTTGAGTCATCCAGCCCAGAATTGTCGGATTACGTTGTTCAGGTCTCCTGGGTTTGAACAGGAAACCCCTACACTAAGGAAATGTCAGAGCTGTAGGCAGAAAAGGAAGCAGTTTTGCAAGCTAGATTTTTGTTTTCTTATAGTTTTGAGTTTTTGAAAGCAGATTTCAGGAATCTGTGAACTCAATAGAACTTACTAGGTGTTCCCTCTACCAAGGATGGATCTTGTCCAGAATCCCTGCTGCCCAGATGTCCTCCCACATTCTCCTTCATATGTTACCTTTGCTACTTCTTACAGCTTGTTCTGCTAGTTTCAAGCTGTTGCCAGTCAGGATTTGCTAATTTTTTGTCTAATATAAATCCAGCCAGTTTGCAACCTGTTTTATTAGCAGGCACTCAGAATAACCCAGGGCCTCTCCCCTGCACAGTGAAAAGCTGTGATTTTTTTTTTTTTTCAGTTTTAGAGACTTTCCATGACCTTAAGGATCAGAAGATTCTTAAACCCAGATGCAAAGTCTTTCACATGGAGTGTATCTTCTTTTTTATAGTTGTATTTTCTAAAATTGTTTATAATATTACAATGGGGGGCTACTTTAGGAAGAAAAGAAGGAAAAAAATTATACAGGAAAAAAAATCACATGATTCAAAATGAAATACTTCTTATCTTATTATAAATTAGAATAAAATTCCATTTTTTAATCTAAAAATATTGTCAAAGTTTTTTCTAAGTGATAAGATCCAAAGTTGTTAAGGCAGCAATGAGATACTCTCAGACAGTGATCTTTATCCTGGGCTGGTGGGAGCACAAATTGGTAAAATGCTTCTGGAAATTTTCCAAATACATCAAGAGCCTTAAACATTTACAAACCGAACATACAAAAATAAATAAATAAAATGAGTTTCAACAGTTAGAAAATGTAATTTTTTTTGAGGATGTCACTTACAAAAAATGTCCATGCCCTTTAATCTGATCATCTGGTTTCTAGATAGCTCTATTGAGAAAATTATTAGAATGTGGTCAAAGGTTTATATGCAGGGATATTCTTGCAGCATTATAATTATTTATTACAGCAAATTTAAATAGCCAACTATAGGTAAATAAAATATGGTATATTCATGTGATGGAATCTTTGACAGCCCATTAAAAGTAACATTTTAGATTACACTTACATGAGGTACCTAAAGTAGACAAATTCATATAAACAGAAAGTAGAGTGGTGGTTGCCCAGGGGCTGATGTAAGACGGAAATGTGAAGTTGTTGAATGGGTATAGATATTCTGTTTTGCACAATGAAAAAGGTGTAGATTCGGTGCATAAAAATGTGAATATACTTAACATGACTGAACTGTATACTTAAAAATGGTCAAGATGGTCAATTTTAAGTTATACCTGTTTTACCACAATTAGAACTTAAGAAGATTTTTAGAGTAACATTTTAAAAGATTACTTAATAATGCTTATACTAGGTTAAGGATGGAATAAAGAGAAAAGAAATTATAAAGTTTCATTCCAATTTTTTAATAAATAAACCAGTATCAGGGCTTATAGCAAGAGAGGAAGGATGTTTTTTCACTCTTCTTTTTTCTCAAGAAAAATTTCCTCCAAAATGATCATACAGTTTTTTTAATCAGGAAAGAAATGTCATAAGAAAAAAAAACCCCAAAACTAAAGACTTTCACTAAGTCTTTTCATACAACTGCATTTTCATTCCCTTAGATTCTCCTTGTTTCCTTTCATGCTACTTGACTTCCAGCTACCATTTAAAAGGCTGCCCTGTAGTTCTGAAAAGCTCACCTAACCTGTTTCTTCCTTCTGTTATCACCATTCATTTGCAAGTCCTGAAATTTTTCCTCCTTCAAGAAGTAAATGAAAAAGAGGCTAACTTTTCTCAAGCTGTAGACTGTCTTACATGACCTACCAAGATTCCCTTACTAATTATCATTCCCATTTAAAGTATCACATTTATCTAAATACCATTATTACACTGAACATCTCCAGATACCTAAGTAACACTCGTGAATTTTAATGGTCTAAAGCAGGGGACCTCAAACTGCAGTCCACAGACAGAAATTAGGGGGTCTGTGATCTTGGATGGGAAAAACAACTATCTCTATTCTCACTAACTTCTGATTTAAATTGGTATTTCCTTATGTTACGAATATAGGCAGAACCTCTTGATATTGCTATATTCCCAGCATCTAGTACAATGCCTGACAGAGCTAGATGCTCAGTAAATATCGTAGAAGAAAAGAAAAAAGGGGTTGAGGGTGGGTGTTTGGAATATGTCAAGATAGTAGGATAAAAATACTATTGTTCTACTCAGTCCTCCTCTACTTCATTAGTAATGGTAAATAATCTTACCTCCTAGTTGTGTAGCACTTCTGTGTTTTAAACTGTGCCCTATTTAATTTGTTCTCCTTAATTGTCTGGGACGTAAAAAGGATATATGTTATTATTTTCAGTTTTCATATAAGAAACTGAGTGAAGTTAAAGTATCCTGCCTGTGGTCCCACAGTAGTTAACTGTCAGAGCCAAGACTAGACTGCAGCCTGTTGAATACCTAGTTCAATGTTCTTTCCCTTTAATCAAATCACCCATAATATGATTGTCACAAATCTGTTTTCAATAAGTTCCTGAAGAGTGTGTCCATAGTCAACAGACAGCCAGACATTTTTGGAGGATTCCATTTAGCCTCAAGGCAAAAAAAAATTGGCCTTCTGGAACTGTTCCCTTAGCCCTGTGGGGTCAGCATTTTGTTGCAGCTGCAGAGCCTTAATAAACTTCCTAAACAATAGAGGAGGCAGTAACTCCATTGCGTCATGGATGCCACAAATTGTTCCTTCAACTTTCAATTCTGTGAATTTATATGCTAACATTATGCAATGTGACAATGAGTGGATTCAGGAAGGGCTATGAAAGGTGTTCAAATATTGTCTGTTACTCATGTGCATGTGACCTTGGGCAAGTCACTTAACTTCTTGGAGCCTTGGTTTCCTGATCTGTAAAATGGGGGTGACAATGCCTACCTTACAAATTCTTGTAGGAAATAAATAAGATAGAAAATCCATATGAAAATCTCAAGCTCAGGCACTGGCATATAATAAGTGCTAAGAAAGTGAATTTTTTTTAAATGTGCTTTTGAGTTCTTGTTCTCAAATCAAAAGTTTTCAAAGTTTCTCATTCTAAGGATTTAAGAGAGATACTGCTAACCTATTGTCTGCATAGTCACCACATTCTTACTCAATTAGCTCTCTCTCTTAAAGAAGTTTTAATTTGTGAAGTAGAAAAACTCAAGATGAGCTGCAATTCTGTTCCATTACTTAAGCCCCTAGGGCAAATGAGAATCTACATTCCTTCCATTTGAAGCAATGCAAAAAGTATACTCTTTTCATTTTTTCTTTTATGAGGTTAGAATTGCTTATTTCTTTTTCAGTCCTGAGCATTATTAGTTTGCACTGACGCTAACATTAGTTTCCTGCCAACAATGACACAGACATGAAAAATAACTATAAAAATATCTGAACATTTAAAATATGTATTTGGCTGTATTCTATTTTTATACATATTTTGAAATATAACTTTACAATGCTATTTCAAATGTGAAAAATATTATAACTGGAAGAGAGCCTAGAGATCTAGTACAGTACTTGAAATTTAGAAATAATGTAGCATTTTGGAGCTGGGTATTTTTTTTCTGTTTTCTTCTTGCAAAAATTCAAAGACATTAATATGCTTCTATCTGTTTTGTTTATTTAAAATAATAAACTTAATGGAGAACAAGACTGTTTGATCAGGAGACAAAATTTCTGTTCTGTTTCCACTTGGGGAAGGGAATAAAGGAAATGACCTTTCATTTCCCAGGCTCTGCTCTCCTGATTTTCAGTCTTCCACACTGCATTACCTTTCTGAAGCCAAGTGAGAAATAACACAAAGCAGTAACTTCTGTGTTCCATTTAAGCATTTCAGGTAATTGGCTAACATTTATAATAGTTTCACATTAAATTATTACCTTTTCTTACAACATCCACTAGGTTTATTACAGTTCATTTATTTTAAAATTTTCTTTACATATTTCTATCACAGTCATTTCAAGGATCCTAAAATGTATGTTTGGTACTTAATTATTTAATAGGAAGATCTCAGATACTACATTACCATTTCTAACTAGAAGAGACTGAGAAACATTTCTCCTGACCCACAAGAAGAAAGAAAACCCTTAAATATCAAAAAAATAGAATTTACAGACTAAAAATAGGAGAAAAAAACTTGTTTCAGTAATTTCAAAATAGATAATGTTAATATATTTCAAAATAGAGTTAACAATATACACCACTTTCTTAAAATATTTCCCTTTGATATGGTGATTAACCGTGCTTAGGACATTAACTGACCTTTATTCTTAAAGCTCCTGAGGATTAGGTTCCTGCTGAGTGCAGGTGTGGTAGCCACAGCACTCTGAAGAAAAGTGTTTATTCCTGGGCCACAGTAACATTCATCAAAACAGTATTGTTTCAAAGCCTAATTAATACTGCAAAAAAAGAAGGAAAAGTTTGCTAAGCAGGTACTTTTTACTCTGAAACACAAAACCCACAGAATTTTAGAGTTGAAAGGGTTGTTAGATCATCCTAGTATATCTGTTTAATTTCAACATGAGGAAACAAGCTTAAGAGAAATAAACTCTAGTATTTACAAAGATGTGTGTGTGTCTGTGTGTGCATGTTGTATTTTACAAGGAGAAAGTTGGATTGCCTTTAGACCTCTGTCATTCTAAGAGTTCATGGATTTTTAACTATCCAGGCTTTAAACCTACCCAAAAGAGAAAAGGTCAAATTCACAAAAAGTTAATCTCTTCCTTGCTTTTAAAAATTAATTTGGCTCATTCAATAATCTTTATTAAATGACTAATGGTCAAATGTTGAATCAGATGCTTCGTTTGAAGACATAAACCAGATGTAGTTCATGGCCTCAAAGATTTTCCAAACTAAAATTATTTTGTTTACCATTTGTGGTATAGAAAAGGAGTAACTTCTATGTAAAGACACCTATTCAACAATTGTTAAGACAAATAACCATGAACTAGTTGAGTTTTATATNNATACATACATATATATATATATATATGTATATATATATATATATATATTTTTTTTTTCTTTCAGGTCAAACGCTATTCAAAGTAGTAATCAAATCTCTTTCACCTAAAGAGTTAGTCCGGATTCATGTCCCTAAACCTTTGGACAGGAATGATGGGACATTTTTGATGCGATATAGGATGTATGAAACTGTCAGCGAAGGGCTGAAGATAGAGGTACTTTATGGTGATGAACATGTGTCTCAGTCTCCCTATATTTTGAAAGGTAAGTGATCACTAAGTGATCCAGAGGCAGCCTTAGGTGCGGACCTGATGCCTTTTTGAATGGGTTGTGTGCAACAGAGTAAACATGGTATATGAACCTCCTGGGACTCAATTTAATTTGAAATTTTAAGGAAAAAAAACTAAAGAGGTTTAAATGTTAAACAAAGAAGTCTGATAAAGTATCTTCTATATTCCTAAAGGTTTTCCTATTTAACAGTTGTTTTGAGCAATTTAATAATGAGCTTTGATGTAGTTTTCTTCATGTTTCTTGTGCTTGGTTTTGTGGACCTTATTGAATCTTTAGGTTTATAGTCTTCATTAAATCCAGAAAAATTTTGGCCATTATTTCTTTGGATATTTTTTCTGTTCTATCCCGGATTCCTCCATGCATTCTAATTACCCACATATTAGGCTTGAAATGATCCCACAGTTCATTGATGCCCTTTTCATTTGTTAAATTCTTTTACTCATTTCATTTTGTGTAGTTTCTACTGCTATATTATTAAGTTCACTGATCTTTTCTTCTGCCATATCCAATTTGTCATTAATTCCATCCAGTGTATTTTTCATCTCGTGATGCTTTTTCATCCTCTCTAGCTTTCTTCTAGGATGCAGTTATTTGGAAACACTTGAACCTTTCAAATTTTGCTTCTCCAGTTTGTTAGGCAAGTCCAGAGCCATGTTTAATCAAGGGCTAATTCCTCCTCACTACATGGGTGATATCTCTCTACCGTTCTACCCAGATGCCATGAATTAAGCTGCTCTCCACCTTGGCTGGTATGAATAGGCACTATTCACAAGCCTGTGTGAACAAGGGGTCCTGTGCCTCTCTTCCTTGTGTGGTTCTTTTCCTGCCTTGGAGAGTGTGCTCACCAATGCTCTCATCAGGACACCTCAACACAGGAAAGAAACTGCAGATCTCTGCAGCATGCTCTCTCTGTCTTTTCAAAAAGTCTGTCCTACAAATCCTACCTGCCTCTATCCCCCTGGACTTTGAACTCAGTGAGACTGCTGGGCTCTGCCTGGATTCCTCCTCCTGGAATCTGGAAACTCTCCTAGGCAGTAATTATTAGGAATTATAAGGTTCACCTCATGTTTTCCCAGCTCTCAGACTCACTGTCCTTCCTTGCCTTATGTCTGGTGTCTTAAAAACTATTGTTTCATGTATTTTGTCTGTTTACTTGGTATTTCAGTTAGGGGAGTAAATTGATCCATGGTACTCACCTTGATCTGAAAGAGAATCCTCAAGAAATTTAAATAATTTTTAAAATTGTTTTTGTGGACATATTTTGAAATAAGATAAAATTTGTATAATTCTTTTACAAATGAGTCTTGAGAGAAGTTTTATACTTATGACTGGGTACTTTAAAATCACATGACCAGACATATGTGGGTCACATGTTTTCTCATATACGTGCTGATGGAAATGATTTTAGGGACTCCGAGAAAGAGATACCCCTTGTTGTAAAAAATCACCACCCCAACCATGTCATAATGCCTGAGAAGAAATACATTTTCTTTTTCTTTGTTAAAAGGTAAGTTGTTTTATGTTCATCAGCCATTTATAACTCACCAGAACTGAATTTATCAGTTAATTGACTAAGAGTGGGTTATATTGGGAGAGAGCATGTGCTCTACTAGTTTGTCTAGGGTAGTAAAAAAGGCGGATAAAAAATAGAAGCATGGGACCCCAACATATCTACTTTCACCACTGATTTGTTTGGGGCAGATTATGGCTGTCTGGATAATCTTAGAATTCAACAAGAAGACATCCTGTGTTCATGTCAGAGCGGTGTGTTCATACTGACACCATGCCCTGTGTGGGGTGCTTGTTCATGGAGTGATGAGGTGTTGTACGTTTTGCTTTCCCAGGCCCAGTGTACCATGAGTACTGCGAGTGTCCGGAAGAGGATCCTCAGGCCTGGCAGGATACTCTTTCTTGTCCAACCGAGGAACCACAGATTGCCAAGGATTTTGCTTCTTTCCCCAGCATCAATCTCCAGCAGATGCTAAATGAAGTTCCAAAAAGGTTTGGGGATGAGAGAGGTGCCATCATTCATTACACGATTCTTGATAACCACATCTACCGGAGGTCCTTAGGGAAGTACACAGACTTCAAAATGTTCTCAGATGAGATTTTGCTGTCACTGGCAAGAAAGGTATGAGAACTGATTCATTCGTTCCAAAACTGTATAGTTCAATTATTTAGTTGTGAACATTTAAATGCTTAGAATAACAATGGCAAAAAATGGAAATTCCAGGCATAGAAATGTGAATCTAAGATATCTTCCACCTGATTGTTCATAAATTCTCCATTTTTATGGATCTCATTTCCTCCAACATTTAAATTAAATGGTTTAGCTCCCATTCCAAGTAAGAAGGCCCTACAGGCCACTCCCAAGTTTTCTGTGAACTCCCATTTACAGCCTCAAAGTCCCTTCTTGAAATTCTCCCTTCCTGCTGAATGCTCCTTCCACTCAGATTTCATTTTCTGCAGCTTTTCTTCCTGACACCTCAAAATGACCATTTTTCTTAATTTTACCCTATGAGCCCCTAAAAGATAGTGTGCATGGCACATTTTGTTGAATGTTGAAGTAACAGTTATTTTATACTCATGCATAGTAAAAAAAAAAAAATCTAGCATTTAAAAATTGGCATCCCTGTATTAATCAGACTTTTGATCACCCTTGCCTCTGGAAATTTCTCACTGGCTGGTCTTGATCTTTAGGTCTTGACCTCTTACTAAATATGGTTAGGCCCTCTGTCTTTCAGATTTCCCCACATCCCTAACAACTCCCCCAACCGCTCTGTTCAACCTCTTTCCACATTTGCAAAACTGTTAAGCAGAGCAATTCAAACTGCCGTTTTTTCTTCCTTCTTCCTGACCCTGCAGACTGAAGAGTGGGGATGGGCATTTTTTACCTTTCCCACCCACAAAGACCATCAAGGTGGTTTTCTCAACCAAAAGTCAACCTTGCTGATATGAGTGGTACAGTTCTCCAAGTACGTGGAATGTGTGGAGGCCATCAATTCTTATTTTAGGCAGCCGCAATTGCCTCCTTCCCATCAGGCAGCAATGTGAGCATTTGAGCATGTCATGGGCACAGAATCAGGAAGTGGGGCACACTCCTTGGGCTTCCACAAGTCCACCTTGCCCTGTATTCCTGTACCTTTCACTCATGTTTCTGCATCTGTAACAGTGGTTTCAACCAGAGATGACTTTTGCCCCTTAGAGGACAAATTTCAATGTCTAGAGACATTTTCAGTTGTCACAACTCAGGGCCTGCTCCTGGCATCTAGTGGGGAGAGGCCCTGGATGCTGCTAAACACCCTACAGTGCACAGGACAACCCCCAGCAAATACTTACGCAGCCCATAATGTCCATAGTGCCGAGCTTGAGAAACCCTGCTCTATAGTGAGAACTTCTGATGTGGAGCTCGCTAATGGGCTTATGAATGACAGGGGAAGCAGAGGGTGAACAGTCACATCCATCCCTTGCCCTTTCCGTTTGTTCCAGGTTCTTTGCCTAGTGGCTGGGAAGAAATCTAAGACAACTGACTCTCACCGCTGGCCTTTGAGCAGCCTGTCCTAGTGGGACTTGTCGGTCTTATGTGGAAGTGAGAGTGAGATGTCAATACAAACTAATTACCTCAACATGATAGGCCTGTAAGAAAAGTATGTACTCAGGGTTAAACTGCCTGAGGATGGTGAGTCAAAGAGGAGTTAACATTAGAAGGTTGAGAAAGGAGACTGCCAAATGACTAAGCAAAGAAGAATATTCCAAATAGAGTTACATATTGAAGGGGCTGGCATTTTCAGAGAGCAGCCTGAAGTTTACTGGTACATGGGCAATGGAAGACGAGGCTCAAAGCTAAACTGGAGCGAGATAGCAGGGCCTTGATTTCTAACCAGAGAGTTTAGACCTTGTCCCGTAGGTTTGAGGTTCTGCTAACCTTGGTAGTTAGCATTAATTTGGGTTTTGGAAATTTGGGTAGCACTGTTAGAGCAGATTAGAGTGGGGAGAGGCTAGCATCAGAACATCTAGTAAGGAAGTTATTGCAGCAACCTAGGCAAGATGTGACAAAGGCCTAAACTAAGGCACTGATGACAGAGATAGAAAGGGGGTAGCGGATTCTAGAAACAGGCAGATGTGGTAGAGAGGTCTGATAGTGAGGGAAAAAAAGGAGCATGGGACTGACTCTATAGACTCTCACTTACTCAGCTGGTAGAAGTGGTTCTTGAAGCCACTTATTCATACCTTTCTATACAATGTCCACTTCTGTGAAACTAAGTCCCACCTCAGAACAGATGTAAGTGACCTTTGGCTCAGGGAATTTACCATGTACCATCCTCACCCTTGATTTTCTGATGCTACTGATGATGAAGAGACATTCTTCTCTTCTTTTGTTATTTGCAAGTGTGTTCAGTTTATCAGAAATATTTAAGAACACCAAAGAACTGAAGCATTTAGTACCCCAAACTGAAGTCTTCCCAGCACTGATGTTTATTCTTTTGTTTATTTAGGTCCTTCTCCCAGATTTAGAATTTTATATTAATCTTGGAGATTGGCCCTTGGAGCATCGAAAAGTCAATGAAACCCCTGGCCCTTCACCTATCATTTCATGGTGTGGTTCTCTGAATTCACGAGATGTTATCCTTCCAACATATGACATCACCCACTCCACGCTTGAAGCAATGAGGGGTGTTACAAATGATCTCCTCTCTATTCAGGGAAATACAGGTAAATTAAAGTTCATTCTCTAAGAAAAGCTTAGTGGTAAAAAAGGCAGAGGGAATGTTTCATCAGAGAGGGTAAAGGTATATATTTAAATGACTGGTGTTCTTATTTTCCAACCAAGAAAAAAAAAACAGTACCCTAAACTCTAAAGTGGTTTGTTTAGGATACTTCTAATCCGAAAAGTAGGTATCTGGGTTGGCCAAGCAGTGTCCAAACCTACAGTAACTGAGTGTCTTTGAGGTGTTACTTGTAAATACCATTTGAAATTATGTATTCTGAAGTTGTTATTTAACTTAATTCTGACTCCAGTGTCTTTATATTCCTGGATAAAGTGAAAGAGCATTTTGAAATACATAAAATTATATGCAGATGTAAGAGAATTGTGACAACAGTGTGACCCTGTTATGGACCTCCAACACTTTGTAAGGAATTTCCTCTTTCTGCCTTTCTTGATCCTTTATAACCTGAATTCCTATCCCCTTGTTTGATAACCTTAGATATATGGTGCAACATACCTTTTTATTAAACCAAATTCCATGAGTAGAAAAAATCCTTGTCTTTATAACCTCTATTTCTGTTTATTGTGCTTTAGTGGGCTTATTTAATGGATAAGACCAGAGACTTTTTATAAACTTTCTAAAGATAACATAAGATGAAACTGACTTTTTATTTGATAATAGTGAATTCCTGAAAATTCCACTAAAATACCAAAGAGATTGACTCCCTTCAACTTTTATGATTTATCCCATAGAACACTGACAGGTGTCAACTAATGACCTCTCTTTAGAATGATAGAACAGATTTAAATAAATTCTTCTAGAATATTTTTCCTCCCAGGAAAGAGGAGATATAAATATATATAGATAGTTGAGTTATACATATATATTTGTACTTAATTTAACAGCATATTAGAAAAAGTCTTCCCTGTATTCAAAAGTGATGTGCTCAAAATTCTGAACAACCTAATCATTAAAGGTGTGTGGGTGTTACTGGTCACCTTGTCTTAGAACAAAAGCCTAATGCACTTTTTATTGTGAAGTACTGAACTCAGAAAAAGCTAATGCCTTGATGCATGAGCTAAGTCATTGAATCTCTTTTTGCTTTGAACTTGATCCAGCTTTATTTTGGATATCTCCTTCTGTCATACAATAAAAACTCCAATATTTGAACTCTAATAAGTAAACAAATGGGTGAAATTAGAGCATTCTCATATGATATAGCAAATAAAACTGTTTTTAAAAGTCTAATCTTGAAACTATGTCAAGTCAAATTGAGACTCGATCCCATATTTTTTGTAAATATCATCTACTTTAGAAGATGAATAGTTGATAAAAAAGCTGTAGCATCTTTAATGACAGTGGTAGATTAAACCTGATTGTACTTACTTTATAAAAATATCAAGTTCATAATCATATTTTTTTATGGCCTCAAACTTCTAGGGCCTTCTTGGATCAATAAAACAGAGAAAGCTTTCTTCAGAGGTAGAGATAGCCGAGAGGAGAGACTCCAGTTGGTGCAGCTGTCCAAAGAAAATCCACAGCTCCTAGATGCAGGAATTACAGGATATTTCTTTTTCCAAGAGAAAGAAAATGAGCTTGGAAAAGCTAAATTGATAGGTTTCTTTGATTTCTTTAAGGTATGCATTTATGTCTTCCTGTATGGATATGAAATGATAAACTTGTGTCAAAAATCTACCAAATAACTGCGCTTGGCAGATGTCATCTATGTTATGAACTGACAAACTTTCTCATCAGGCATAGGGACTTATAAATCCACTGTGGTTTCCTTTTCCTTTCTAGTTTTTATTAACTCGGTCTATATTTAATACATAAAATATAGTAAAAGGATTAACCAGGGGTTTTGGTACATTTATTTGTGTTTCTCTTTTTTTTTTCTTTTGTATTTGTTTTAATGAACTGGGAATATAAATGTCTTTTACATAAAATTATCTTAAATGCCTTTTGTAACTAGAAAAACTATATATTCCATGTAAGTAAAATAGGAGCTAGAATTAGGGTTCAACTCCTGCCTCTTGTCTTGCCCATGCCGCTAACTGTGGGACCCCCGTCTTGTAGTGCCTCTCGACAAGTGTGATGCCTGCCTGACTCCTTCAGAGCCTTGTCCTGAGGCACAGAGGAGAAAGACATGTGAACGATGTGACAAAATCTGAGTAGCTAGGAAACTTCTTGGTACCAATTACTTAAGAAAAAATTAATTACTAAATCTGTGAGTATATCCTGTTCCTTTCAATGTGGTATAATGAAATGAACATGGGATATGAACTCAAAGAAGAGAGGTTGGTAAATTTCTCTGATCACCAGTTTTACCATTTGTAAAAAAAAAAAAAAAAAAAAAGGAAGGCATGATAATACCTGCTTCCCATTATTATAATCAATCGAAGTTTAGTTCCTGTGAAAAGTGATTTTGAAATGTACATCAAAGTTTATCCAGCAAATATGTAAACAGAATATGTCCTGAGTTGCCAGCATCACCCTAGTCTTTAAACTTCTCCAGGTTTCTGTTTCCTCAACTCCAAAACTGAACAGTGGAGATCGTGCCTTCCTTTTTCGTACTTACATAGGTGAAAGGAACAAGTGAAATAATGTATAAGTGAAAGTATAAATTGGTATCAATATTGAGCCTTCATAAATGTAGAACTTTTGAAAAGTTTTCCTAGCTGGTTATGGAAATTCAAATTCCCCATTGCATATAATTGAAATAGATATTACTATTTCCTAAAATTATTTATCATCATATCCTTAAACAGGTCTTAAAATTGACATGCTAAAGACTGCTTATGATTTTAATACAAAGATAAAAAGTGAGTTAATGAAATAAAAATGTAAAACTTTAAAACACTGAAGTTGGAAATGGAAATTCCTTTATATTTAGTAGCATAGTGTTGATGAGAAACCAAAGCGCAGCAAATGACTGCTAACATTTGTGTTTGTCTGCTTGTTTTAATCTTTTAGTACAAATATCAAGTGAATGTGGATGGGACTGTGGCTGCTTATAGGTACCCGTATCTCATGCTGGGTGACAGTTTGGTTCTGAAGCAGGACTCGCCATATTATGAACATTTCTATATGGCACTAAAGCCTTGGAAGCATTATGTTCCAATTAAAAGAAATCTAAGTGATTTGCTAGAGAAACTTAAGTGGGCCAAGGTATGCTTTCTGCAATTTAATTTCTTTAAGCAATAACAAACTTGCCAGTATTATTTACATGAGTTCCACCATAGCACAATTTAATTTGACATGAGTTAGTCAAAAGGAATATCATTTCTGAAATTTTTGTTCCCTTGAAAAATATCTAAAGAATCAACATCAGGATCATTTTATATACTCCCTATCAATGTTTTTGAGGGTTTTGAGGAGATTTGAAGTCCAGTGTTATGTGGAATATAGATTTTTTCCTAAGGAATCACTATTTGTTCATATACACATAAGCAAAGGCACACCATAAAGGCACACATCATAAAGGCACACATCATAAAGGCACACATTATAAAGACTGAAAAGACCACAGTTAAGGTGCTTTATGCACAAGAAAACATTTAGGCAACTGTGGCACTCTTTCCTTTTCCTCAGTTAGAAAAAAGACACAAGTTTTATAATGAGTGCATGCTAGACAACATCCCAAGCGTCACAAGTTTCCCATAAAATAAGAATTCTTTTTTTAAAAGGAAAGTATTAAAAAGCTGTTTGTTTTTTTATGAAGCTGTAAAAGTTTACCTCCCTGTTATAAGACTTTTCTCTATTTTTAAGTTTCTGAAAAGCAGTATTTGGTTATGGCAATAACTGGGTGCCTAAGGCAGAGTCATTTTTTTGACCTGTATAAAACAAAATCAGAATTGCTTGCAAATGGCTTTTCCTATGGGCAGCATGGCAGAATATTACTATTTTCCAAAAGTATAATTAGCAACACTGGCTGTTCTTGGTGCTAGAGGAACAGCCTGTGGTTACTAATGACTGCATTTTTTATTACAATGAGATAGTCTTTCATAGATACCATTTTAGAACAACTTTTTGGCTCTGAATGCATATTATAATAGAGTACTTAAGAGGTGTCATAACATGAAAAATGATTCATTTTTTCTGGTTTGTATTTTAATATCAAGCAGAGTGGCCCAAGTGGGTGAACAGATGTTGAGCCCCAAACTTCCTGGGTAGCTAGGAAAATACCAAACCAAGGTAGTCACAGCAGAGGTTGCATGTGGGGTGCTGCCCTGGGGCAGGTGGGGGATGTTTTGGGCCCAAGAATAGGGTCCAAACATGTATGATCATTTTTCTTAAACAGATGTCTAGGAAAGTACTTTGTCTATTTCCATAGCTTCCTTCAATTATATTTTCATCATTTCATCTCCCATGCTTGTCCACATTCAACCCATATCTGTCCTACCTCACACTCACCCTTAGATTTATTTGTGAGTCACAGGAGTAATTTTCCTTCATTGTTTCTTCTTAAACCTTTCAGGAAAACGATGAAGAAGCCAAGAAGATCGCAAAAGAAGGACAGTTTACTGCTAGGGACCTGCTGCAGCCGCACCGGCTTTACTGCTACTATTACAGAGTCCTACAGGTTAGTTCAGACTCCTCGTCTGGGTCCAGCATCCTCAGACCACATGCTCGGCCTGCGTGCCTTGCTTGGTGAGGAGGTCAGAGTCAGCCTATGGAACCCTTGGCCAAGCCAAGGCACCAGCCTGCGGAAAGACAGGAATAATGCCAAGTCCCCTGTGGCCACCACATCCTTACCTTCATTCCGTATTATGAAAAGCAATGCTTAGAGTCTTTGCAGACACAGATTTAAATCTCCTCCCATTTTGTCAGTGCTGTCTTTTATCAAAGGCCTTATGAATTTCTTAGTTTAGGTGTTTTCTGAACCTTGGAGAACAATATCTTTCCTAATCGGGAATATAAGAAGACTGGATTAGAGATCATTAATATCTTTTCTGCTCAAAACATCCACCTCTTTGTTCTCCTTTCTACTTAAGATTCATGCTTTTGCCATCACAATGCAGGCTGGGAAGCAAATATTTAGCTTGTATAAAATAAATGAAATACATTTATAATAATTTATAATATGCAATTATGTAATATATGATTATAATAATTTTAACTGAAGTGCAGGTGCTTATTGGGAATCTAAGGATTGATTCTTTGCACAACTATACTGTATTTTACTCAGTAAAATCTAGCCAGGAAAAAATAAATAAATTGTATTTTTGTTTTTAATATAAGCTTATTTTTCTATAGGCAGAAAAAAGTAGATTCCCTCAGATGCCTATGGATATTATGCTCTCCTAGAAAAATTAAAATGATAAATTACCCCATTTACTAAAAGCAGCCTTTCCCTTAAATGAATTCTGTCCCCTCTGCTGATGTAGCTATAATTTAAGTAGCTACATATGTATCTCCCCCTAAAATATTAACTAGACCCATGTATTATGCCAATATTTTGTTGGATTTGGTCCAATACCAGGAACATACAACTAAATGTACATGGAACCACTGAACTGAAAATCCAATTTATAGGAATATTTTAGTAAGTGACCAAAGTAAAGGGACATTTCCCAGGCCTGTCACTATTTACATAATGTGTGTGACTACAGAACTAGAGGGAAGGATATATGAGACCACCAACTTCATTTTGAGATTCTCAACATCTTTATTTGCTGATTTGAATGTTCAACAAAGTTCATTATACATTAACAAGGGGAGGAGAATGCCAAGTGGTACTGTTGTTTTGAGTAGGGAAACTTGGCTGGACATTCCTTTTATAGAGGCTTCCTACGTACATATAAAATTGTGGATCAGGATCCCTTGTTAGATTGTGAAATATTATACTAGTGCCTATGATCACTGAAGTTAAAATGTAACTTCAGGCTAAGAATAAACCAGACCTTTGGTTTTAGTCTGAAGATACACAGCAGCTAGAAATGATGGTATGAGTGGAGTGGGGAGGATTCAAGGGAATAAAATATGGACTAATCTTTCAGTTGTCTTCAAACATATTTCAGAAATATGCTGAGCGCCAGTCCAGCAAACCCACAATACGTGATGGAATGGAACTTGTTCCTCAGCCAGATGATGACATGTCCATCTGCCACTGCCACAGGAAAAAATCTTTAAGAGAAGAGCTTTAAGCCAGCCCAGATTCAGACTCTTGTGTATGCAGGCAACATCCTCAGTGGAATCATTCAGATAGAATGTAAGCTGTGAAGAGCACAGTTTAAAAGACTTTATCCAGTGGACTGGTTCTCTTGGTGGCTTTATATAATGTGGATGGATGGAGCAATATTAGAGCAAGTATTACCAAATATCTTCAAATATTAATGTGTTTTAAGTAAAAACTGCTATTACCAGCATCACAGTTTCTCTAAAAAACTTGGGAATCAGACTACACAGAGAGGCTTGCCTAAGTGTAGTTTGCCTAAATCCCTCTCTGTGAAACTATTTACATCATATTTATTGGTTTGTTTCTATCCTTTATTCACTTCCCCTTTCCTCTTCTAATTATGAAGAAAGATATTTGTTTGGGCAGAGTTTTCCCCCCTCATTGCATAATTTCTCCTACAAGTTGGTTTTGACATTCAGTAGTAGCAAGTGCCTTTTAGAAGGTCTGATAAAAAAAATCAAGGAAGAAGATGACTCTGTTCTTAAAGGTAGCTTGGAGACTATGGAGGGAATTTTTTTTTTTTATGTTTACTCCTGTTTAACCAAGTTTTACCAAGGCCTGAGACAAAACTAAGAAGAAATATTCCTTGAGCTAGTAATTCCCAACCTATCTGGGTTGTATACCCATCAAGGACAACATAGTTATTAAAATAGATGAGAACATCCTTTGAGTACCATTCATTGTCTGTATATTGGATAGACAGAAGGTGGGTATCTTTAATTCTTTGTAATCTTTAAAAGTGATACTTGAAAACCTCTGCCACCAGCTGCAGGAAACCTGGTCTCTTGAGAACTCATAATAAGCTGACGACAGAGGCAAGCATCCATTCCTCACTCTACCCCTCCTCTGTTTTACTGGATTGCATTACTAACATAAAAACTTTGGAAATTTCCTTTGCCTTTTAGGACAGGGTCAAGACTTAAGACTTATAGCCTAGAAATTCATTACACACTCCCTGTAACACCACCAAGATTCAGCTCACTAAATCACACACTCCAAAAATGACAGCTATCCATGCTCCCAATCTAAATATATTTACTCCCTCAGTTAAAATATTTACTTAATTTGGAAAACAATGTAGCCACTTTAAAGTAGTCATATCTGCTCTTCTTTGAAGATCAATAAGAGCACATAACATTTTTGAACCAGACAAAAGCAAAACTATATTTATGAACAGTGTAATCAAAGCCAAGTGTCCCTGGAAAATTAATAGCCTTCAATTGTTCAAAACCACATGTACACAAGTATAAAATAAAGGGTGAGCTGTACTGAGACCGTCTTCTGGTGACTCCATGTCCTACATATATTGTACATGGAGTTTGGGCTTGTCAAAACCAAGATTATGGAAAGAAAGTTTGCTCTTATTCACACCTCTCTGCCCTCCAACCCCAGGTCCTTCCTGATGGCTACTTGAATTTCGTTAGAAACATCTTAAATTTTAAAATTTTTATCGCTTGCTGCCAGATATTCCTAATAGTTAAAAGCAAGTTGAGACAAACCAGGCAGCTTCTGGTGTGGAACAGGCAGGATGAGCTTAAAAAATTAAGTGGAGACTCTTGAGAAATTCCACAGGAAAAGAGCAGCCTTAATCTAGATAATCCACCATCTCACTAACTCAGTCACAGCCTTTAAAAGGAGTTAGTTCTACATGGCTTTCTGGTTTGCTGACATGAATATAACTTAGTAAAACTTGGATTCCTAGAATCCTGATTCTTTTCCTTCCAGTTCACATATTACCTATATGTTACATTAGTCATTTTTAGTACTTCAAGTTTCACTTAAGATATCTGATATCGAAAAGGAGAGGAGGGATGTAAGGATATGAAAGTGAATATAATAACTACATTTGTCTAAGTAAGCTATCAACCTGTTTGTTGCAGCATTATTTTATTAATAAATGTTGGAAATCTTGAAAAGCCATCCTGAGGGAATCGGCTAAATAGAAATTGATACATCAAGGAGAACAGTACAACCTTAAAGGGGATGAAGCCGCTCTGAATGTGCTGGCATGAAAGATTTCCATGACAGTGTTCAGTGAACAGAACCAGTTACAGGACAACATATACAATGTGAAACATTTATGTAAAAAACAAAAATATATCCATGTGCTTGAAAGTTTGGAAGGAGTGAGATATCTGAGGTGGGATTGGAGTGAAGGGAATTTTTATGTTTTGATTTATACCTATCATATTTAAAATAGTTTTACTGTAAATATGAATCAAATTGTAAACCAAAGAGAAATGCTAACCTAAGGAAAGACAATAAATGCACAACAAATATACATAGGACAAGAAAATGGATATTTACATTTTCCATTATGCTGTTTTTAAATCTATGTCTAGAATTTTATATCATGGGACATACTATGTATATTTTTTAAATAAATTAAATTTTCTAAATAAAATTTTGAAAAAGACAAATTTCATTTCAGGAAAGAGATTATAACCTTGATACTATAGCCTTGATGTTTCTATAATTGACTTGGTCTAATTTTAATTCTATTATGTCTTCATGAACAAAGGAACCCAAACTGCTGTCACTAGCACTTAGTTCCCAGTCGGTAGAAATCTAATATTAGAGGAAAAGACATGTGGGCTCAACACCATTATTTTCAGTTATTTCAGGTGAAAATAACAATAAGTGCAGTATCTTAGTTCAGGTTGCCATTATAACACCCAGTCTCTGGGTGGCTTAAACAGCAAATATTTATTTCTGACAGTTCTGGAGCTCTGGGGATCTTGCAGTTCTTCAAGATGAGTGCCAGCATATCCACTGTCTGGTGGGAGCCCACTTCCTTATTTGCAGACTGATTCCGTCATTGTATTCTCACATGGCAGAGAACAGAGAGAGGAAGCAAGCTCTCTCCTGTCTCTTGTTACAAGAATACTAATCCCATCACTTGGACTCTACCCTTATGTTCTAATTACCTCCCAATGGCCTCATCTCCAAATACCGTCACATAGGGACTAGGGCTTCAACATACTAACTTGTGGATGGTGATGGGGGTGGTATTGGGAGAGAGAACATTCAGTCCATAGCAGGCAGGGGGAGGACAAATGCTCCCCTGGCATACTATGGCCAAAGTTAGAAGAAATATAAATATCTTGTTTGGAGGGGAAGAAAATCATCCTTGTGGTTATGTTTGAGTTCAAATAGTTTGAAGCCAAAATTGCCAAACCTTAGAGTTAAAAATCCCTCTTTTAGGCACAGAACCATAGTTTACCCCTTCCCAATTACTGCTGCTCCCACCCCATGTCAGCCTCTTGTGGAGCCTGAGGTTCCAGACACTGAGATCAAATTTAAGTGTCTTGTAAGCCAAGTTCTGTCTGGAGAGCTGTGTAGGAGAGGAAGCTCAGCACTAACTTCACTGATAACCAACAATGCAACATTTGATAGACATAGGAAAGTAAAAGATTGGGGTTTGCTTATTCTATAGGAAGAAATAGCATATCCTGAAAGTGGGTAGGAGGGGTGAGGAGGTAGTGTGTGTACAGGGGATAAGACAGCCAGACGTGAGGAGATGAGGACAAGACAGTTACAGAAAGAACTATTTTTGAGAGCTACCTATTGTGTTCACCCCCAACAGGGTGTATATTCTTCAATAAAATTCTGATGCAAACCACTTGGATTTAGTGTCAGACTCCCCAGGTTCTGGGGATCACTGCTCCAGAAGACTGACCTTACCGACACCAGCTGCAAGTGAGGTCCCCAGGCTTCCCACCCTTCTGTCTGACTACAAATCCAGGGGTCCTGTGACCCACCCTCAGGTTCAGTTATTCATCTGAACAACTTACAGAAGACAGGAAAATATAATAACTGTTACGGTTTTATTATAAAGGATACCATGTTCTGGAAGGGAGAGCAGAGCTTCCATGCCCTCTCCTGGCGAGTCACAGCATATCATCCTCTGGGTACATCAATGTGCTCACCAACAAGGAAGCGCCACTGAGCTTTGTTGTCCAGAGTTTTTATTGTCTATTACATAGGCACAATTGATTAAATCACTGGCTGTGAGTGAACCCCATCTTCAGCCCTTCTCCCCTCCCTGGAGTTTGGATGCTGAAAGTCCCAATCCTCTAGTCCTGTACATGGTCTTTCGGTGAGAAGGTCCCATTCTGAAGCTATCTAGCAGCCCACCCTGAGTACTCATTGGCATAAAAAGGTACTTCCACCACTCAGGAAATTCTAAGGATTTTTGAAACTCTGTACCATGAACCAGAGACAAAAGACTGGGTATAATAGCACAATACTTCGAAAGCCTGAGAACTGAGGGCCATGAGGTTTGATGCAAGGGAATGAAGTAGCAAGATCACCTTCACTCCAGAAGGTTTGGGACAAATACCTGAGCTTTACAGCTAAGAGATGCATTAAACAAATCCCATGCAATTTAATTCAGAGAGTGTGGTAAGGAGATATTTTAAATACACTGAGAGTAAGTCTCTCTGTGGTTTCTGAGGGTTATCACCCACACTTTTGATGAACTAGTGGGCAGCAAGAAGTACAATGCTTCAGCTGACAATGAACCAGCCAAAGAAACATGAAGGCTATTTCCCTTTCACCCCTCTAACATTCCTCTCCCCAAAAGAGTAACAGAACTTCCTGTTATGGCCTATGTCAATAGTACCACTAGCACTGCAGCTAGGAGCAGGGAGCTGCAGTACAAATAGCTGAGTTCAAATAGTTCCTGAGTCCTGTAAGGAAAATGGCTCATCTCCTGCCCCGTGTTCTTATCATTTACAATCAGGGTCATACATCAAGTGATTCCCTGATTTTGAATAGTTTTTGGTAACATGGAGACTTGCAAAGAGGGAGAATATTATAACAAGGTTCTAATTGGTTGCCTCAATGAAGTTTTCTGTTCTCTCCTAGTAACTCCAGAACTTACGTTAAGTGTGAGATACAATTTAGATTTACATAGTTATCCCATCTGAGACCAAATAGTAACATAAAGGAACCTTTAAAGTGCAAGTGACCAACAGCAGGGGTGCTCCAGGGACAACTTCCTTGAGAGCAACTTCCCAGGAACAAAGTGCCCAGTTCAGTGGTGAGCGGGAGCCTGATCCTACTGGCTTTCCAGTTACACTCTGAAACATCACATCGGAACTTTAAAACTGTCTGTGGTGAGAGAACTTTTCAGCACCAGAAATTGGCAGATGCAACAAATCAGGGTTTTATTATGTTTCTGAGAGTGACGTACCAGCACACCACTGCTAATGTTTCACAAGTCTTTATTGACAATTTTAAATTGTTCTACTGAAAAGGGAAAATCCTGTATCATTCAGGATACTAAGACAGAAATAAGGGAAATTCTAATCCACAGACCTAATACAGGGCCTCATCTGGATTTTTGTACACTCGTTCATTGCTACTAGCATTGTTAATCGGTAAGCTCCTTTTAAGAAAATAGCAAGGCAATCCTTAACAAAAGTCATGGCGGTGAGGAAAACAGTGTGCAAAGAATTAGCTAATGGAGGTAACTTCCCCTAGGTTCTTCAAACTGCTAAACCTCAAAACATGAGTATTGGTGTCTGGTTTGCGGCCCCTCTGCCTCCTTCTAGGCTACTGCAAGACTTTTGCCTTTGACTCATGCCTAATCTTCAAGAGCGACATTGTGGTTTTCTACTACATAAGATGTTTACAGAAGATCCCATGACCTAAACCTAACCAAGGAAGTGAAAGACCTATACCCTGAAAACTACAAGACACTCTTAAGAGAAATTAAAGAGGACACTAACAAATGGAAACTCATCCCATGCTCTTGGCTAGGAAGAATTAATATTGTCAAAATGGCCATCCTGCCTAAAGCAATCTATAGATTCAATGCAATCCCTATCAAAATACCATTAGCATTCTTCAACGGACTGGAACAAATAGTTTTAAAATTCATATGGAACCACAAAAGACCCTGAATAGCCAAAGCAATCCTGAGAAGGAAGAATAAAGTGGGGGTAGGGGGTGGGGATTTCACTCTTCAACTTTAAGCTCAACTACAAAGCCACAGTAATCAAGACAATTTGGTACTGGCACAAGAACAGACCCACAGACCAGTGGAACAGAATAGAGACTCCACACATTAACCCAAACATATATGGTCAATTAATATACGATCAAGGAGCCATGGACATACAATGGGGAAATGACAACCTCTTTAACAGCTGGTATTGGCAAACCTGGACAGCTACATGCAAGAGAATGAAACTGGATCACTGTCTAACCCCATACACAAAAGTAAACTTGAAATGGATCAAAGACCAGAATGTAAGTCATGAAATCATAAAACTCTTGGAAAAAAACAAAGGCAAAAATCTCTTTGACATAAACATGAGCAACTTCTTCATGAACATACCTCCCCGGGCAAGGGAAACAAAAGCAGAAATGAACAAGTGGGACTATATCAAGCTGAAAAACTTCTGTACAGCAAAGGACACTACCAATAGCACAAAAAGGCATCCTACAGTATGGGAGAATATATTCATAAATGACAGATCCAATACAGGGTTGACATCCAAAATATATAAAGAGCTCATGTACCTCAACAAACAAAAAGCAAATAATCAAATTAAAAAATGGGCACAGGATCTGAACAGACACTTCTCCAAAGAAGAAATTCAGATGGCCAACAGACACATGAAAAGATGCTCCACATCACTAATCATCAGAAAAATGCAAATTAAAACCACAGTGAGATATCACCTCACACCAGTTAGGATGGCCACCATCCAAAGACAAACAATAACAAATGTTGGCAAGGTTGTGGAGAAAGGGGAACCCTCCTACACTGCTGGTGGGAATGGAAATTAGTTCAACCATTGTGGAAATCAGTATGGCGGTTCCTCAAAAAACTCAAAATAGAAATACCATTTGACCCAGGAATTCCACTTCTAGGAATTTACCCTAAGAATGCAGCATCCCAGTTTGAAAAAGACAGATGCACTCCTATGTTTATCGCAGCACTATTTACAATAGCCAAGAAATAGAAGCAACCTAAGTGTCCTTCAGTAGACAAATGGATAAACAAGATGTGGTACATATACACAATGGACTATTATTCACCCATAAGAAGAAAACAAATCCTACCATTTGCAACAACATGGATGGAGCTAGAGGGTATTATGTTCAGTGAAATAAGCCAAGCAGAGAAAGACAAGTACCAAATGATTTCATTCATATGTGGAGTATGAGAACAAAGAGAAAACTGAAGGAACAAAACAGCAGCAGACTCACAGAACCCGAGAATGGACTAATAGTTACCAAAGGGAAAGGGACTGGGGAGGATTGGTGGGAAGGGTGATATAAGAGGTGAAAAAAGAAGGGGGCATTACTATTAGGAGACATAATATAATGGGGGAAACAGGGAAGGCAGTATAGCACAGAGAAGACAAGTAGTGGTTCTATAGCATCTTACTACGCTGATGG